ACCAGCTTCTTCAATTTTTTGAGACTCTTTAAACTTACGACCCGCTGACACTCCTCTGCTAACTTTTGCAGGGTAAGGTTTTGTTCAGATTCGAGTTTAGACAAAACTACGTCTTATTTCGGCACTCTTACTGGATACCAGTCCTTGAGCAAAAATTAAACACTTGAATTCTTCAACCGTAATCTCTGCCAATCTGAAATTGTCACAATGTCTATTCACTATAGATGCATAAGTTAAGTCGGATCGTCGGATTTAGCTACATTCATGCATAACCATCGCTTATGCGAAAGCGACATATTTGCTCCAAACAACTACTTTAGCAATTTCACTGTTTCCGAGAATTCCAATTCATTTGTTCTTCTCGGTAGTATAAAATCTACAAATTTGCTATGTTCCGCTGTACCTAGCTTTCTTAGTAATAGACTGACTTTTCTTGAATTCGACCAGTTTTCAGTGTGTGGAAAATATCTTCATATCGTTTAAAGTACGCTTCAAACGTTTTTACTTCGTCTGGCACATATTTGAAAGTTTCCAACGAATTAAATATGATGTTATTAGAATATGAAGAGTTACTTTCATTTGCCTGAATGTTGTTTAATTTCTCCAATGTTAACTTTTTGAATTTCCAAAACCTTGACATACATTTCTTCCTGTTCCCTTTGACGTTGCTGACTCAACTCCTCTTGCCTTTCTTTATAATTCTGCTGTGCTAATTGCTGTTCTCTTAATAAGGCAAACTGTTTACTTTGTTGTTGCAAACTCAACTGCTGGGATTTTACTAACTCAGCTTGACTCAACTGCTGGGCTTTAAACAATTCAGCTATGACTTTGGATAATTCCTCCATTTTTAGCTGATAGTGTTCATGCAACAAAAGAATATACTTTTAAATTGTGTATCCACGAATATACTATAAGCAGACAAAAAAAATCGAAACAACTTACGCCTTTTTTAATTTTATGTCTTGCTTTATAAAATATTGTTGAGCAACCAAACAAAAAAACAAACTTTTTTTTTTTTTTTTTACACGTTCGCTTACCTTTCAAAGTCGACACGTTGTATTTGTACTCCTTTTAATTCTATGCGTGTTTTTTTAGTCGGCCAGCATTTTTTTTTTTTCTTTTTTAGTCGGCCAGCATTTTTTTTTTTTTTTTTTCGCCGTTATTTGTTTACGCCACCTTCCAGATTTTTCTGAGTGAACGTTCCTTTAAGCTTAGTCGCCCTTTAACTAGTTTTAACTGTCCAAACTTCAGAATACTTTTCCGTTCCATTAGATGTTCGACTTTTAATTAATGATTTTTTTTTTCTTCAGCCTGGGTTCTTCCACTTGTCCCAATTGTTGAAGGCTATCAATTATTAATTCTTTTTTTTTCCGTAACGTAAAGTTCTTTATACCTCGTCGCCATTGTTGAAACTTGGATAAGCATGGAATAATAATAATACAACACAAAATGTACGTTAACAAAATGTATTGAAACAAGGAAAGGGTACACAATATTTACAGTTAGTTTTAGTATATTCTTGGGAAGACTGTTCCTGCATAATGGGTTGACTAAATCGCAGTCGGGCAGAGTCTCTGGATTCGATCTCTCTCCGTCTTCCGGTACCAACCCATATTTATATGGTCGGTACTCCACTTATGTAAATTAGGTGTATCGTACACAACATTTACTAATCCCGATGAGTTTGATGGCGAAAGTCAGTAATTTGAAAGTTTTAATATTTATATTTTAAATATAATTTTATATTGTTTTGCATGTATACCTTAATTGGGTACGTTTTTAAAGAGTCAACAGTAGATTGCAGAAAAACTGTGAGGTTTTATCCTTATTATTCCATTTTTTTTAATCAGTATCATCTAAGAAACGTACTACAGCCGCCCAGCATGCAAGGGGTTACAAGGTGTGGACAAATTAGAAACAAAAACATTATTAATGAGGAGAAAGACACAAGGAGGAGTATAGATAGCATTTAAACTTTTGCATATTAAAACTGGTTGGATGCATGGCGCAACTGTAAATTTACGAGGTATCGCCACCAGTCTAGAATTACGTTTAAATTCATATAGTCTAGTACCAAAGCGAAAAGCTCATCCGAAAAATTACCACGAGAGTATTTATAAAACAAAAAACACAGGGAGACAACCTTACGCCGGTTGGCAAGTTACTGAAGCCGAACCACCAGATCAGGACCAATAATATTGCTTATTCTTCTTTGGATCATATCAAGGAGCTCCAGGAAAATAACAAGGACACCGGGCCATATATAGCATCTATATTCTAAGCATGGACGAACGGTAGACTTATAAATATGCAAGATATATTCCAGAGTGAAAAACTGACTTGCTTCACACAATGAACCGACTTCCTTAGCAATTGATTCAATGTAGCCTTTCCACCTCATGGCAGCTCTAATTGTTTTCTCATTACTAATAACTATATATATATATATATATATATATATATATATATATATATATATATTGTCTTTTCTACAAGTATTTTCATGGAAACTGGTCTGACGAACTTTTTCCTGGTGCACAGATTACATGATTTTAAGCATGCTAATAGATTACTATTTAGGTGCCAACCTTTTACTGATGAAATAGAAACCGCCACCTCTACCCCAACAGTTTATTTTCTCGCACTTCCCACCCGTGGACCTCACTTCCGTTTAATTGCTTCCCTAAACTAAACTATTCACTAAACTAAACTGCTCTCTATTAATCACCATAGAGATCCTTTTCTGCCATCCATTAAAATGTCTGATAGTCAACTTCTTGACAGCAACTCCCTGCGTCTGCTCGGTTTCACGTTGACTGCTGACCTGAGATGGAACAAATACATTGAGTCAATTGCTTCTTCCACCGCGAGGAAAGTTGGCTCTCTGTGCCGCGCCAGGAAATTTTTCTCCCCGGAATCGATACTTCAAATATACATGTCATCCATTCGCCCTTGCATGGAGTATTGCTGCCATATATGGTCTGGGGCACCTTTTGTTTAACTCGGAGTTCTTGACAAGATCCAATGACGGATATGTAATCTAATTGGCCCTGATCTGGCGTCTTGTCTACAGTCACTCTCTCACAGACGGGTCGTCGCCTCTCTCTGTCTTTTCTACAAATACTTTCATGGTAATTGCTCCGATGAGCTGCTTTCACTGGTTCCCAGACTCCATGAATTCCAGCGCCCTACGAGGCTGGCATCCCGCTCTCACCCTTAAATGTAGCCGAATCTTCTACTCCAATAGCTTCATACCTCGCACCTCTCGCCTGTGGAACACCCTTCCCAATTACTGTTTCCCTGATAGCTATAATCTCCAACTATTCAAATTTAATGTCAATCGACATCTCCAGTTACCTTGATCTACCCACTATCCCTCTCCTCATCCTTTCTTCTATCACTCCTATCTGCTCTTGCTCCAAATCTTCTGCACACCCCTGCATCCTAGTGGCTTCACGCCTTGCTCGGGTTGTAATGCTTTAAAAAAATGCAACGTCAATCGCCACATTCTATCTTCTTTAAGCCCCTTCATCTTTTGACCTTTCCTCAATACTTCCTATTCTCTGTCTTGTCTTTCACATTGAGTCTCCGTAAGCGATCTCCGTACTAGTGGCATTACAGTCTTGATTGGAAGTGAGATTATATATATATATATATATATATATATATATATATAAGATATTTGATGCAAATTTAAGAAACAGCGTCACTTAAACCTAAATCTCTTATGAAAAACAAATCCTGCAAAAGAAGATCCTGAAGAAAAACAGAACAATTTGAAATTCATTAATTTCACGCTTCGGTAAATCGCGGCGCAAGCGAGCATTGGGATAGTGAAAGATGCCTTTCGAAAGCTAAACAAAGTATTAGAAAACGGGAAAATTTCGTTAGAAGTAAAAACAAAAGGAGTGCTGTCCTGTTATGTATTAGGTTGGTGCAAAAATAATGACGTAATATGTCGTTTTTTGACGTATTTTTTAACGTCAAAAAACGACATTCTTACGTCATTATTTTTGCACCAATCTAATAATATTAGTCCTCCTACGTAGCAGTGAGTGCTGGGCAATCTCTTCACAGATAAATACAAGACTTTAAGCAATAGAAATAGGGTTCTACAAAAATGGGTGAGAATATCATGGAAAGGGTGTGTAAGCAATTAGGAAGTTTTAAGTAAAATGGAAACTATAAACACATTTGTCGTTAAAATCAATTGATAGATCTGGGACGCATATAGATTACCTATATGCATATCAGATCTATCATTTGATAGGAGGACAGTAGATAGCATTTAAATTTTTGCATATTAAAATTGGTTGGAATGCATGGAGTCGGGAGGGATTTCCAGTTATATCGAGCTGTCTCAACTGTAAATTTACGAAGTCTCGCCACCAGTCTAGTATTACGTGGAGGCTTGGAAAATACACGAATCGAGACACATCAAAAGCGGAAAGGACAGAAACAGCATTTACCCTACTTAATTATCTTGTGTAAGTGGATGGTAGAAAAGAGAGAAGGGTGGACAGTAAAATGACACACGTGACCAAATGTGGCAAAAGATACGATGTTAGTAGAGAGCGATGATCTTCTACCTCTTGAAATCTAAACATTTTGTACGCCATTTTATTTTTTCTTTGAGATAATAAATGTTTTAGTGATAAAAGTTTTAATTAACCCATATCTGCAGGGGAATAGGTGAATTCATACTTTCCCCAAGAGTATTTGCACTTAAGCGAATATAATTGTTGTGGCCTTGTTAGGCCCAGAAATAAAGACACACAGAGAGGAACAGAGTTAACCAAATATATTAACAGAAACAGTAATGTAAACATATACAAAACGAGAGTGTTACAGCAAGAATATTGCTGACTGCTGGAAACTTATCTCTCCAAAAGGCAGTACCTGCTCCTATTTATAGCTGGGAGAGACCATGCGTGTGTGGGTAAATTACCATAACAGTAACGAACCCAACGGGAATTGGAACTCGGTTTAACACATTCGAACATACAGCACTTGGTATTCCTAAGAGGTCACTAATCTAAGTACGGATCTGGCTTGATGTTGCTTAACTTCGGTGATCGAACAGGAACCGGTGTTTAAACGCGATCTGGCCGTAAGCCACGCCGTGAAAGGGATACTGCGTATAAAATGTGGAAAAATCATGGAGGAAGTCTTCACAGTGTTTTCCGTCACGGAAGGTAAAGTTTCTAGAATGAATCATAGACTAAATAAAATAATCTGAAAGCAAATGTTTCTTTCATTCGAAAAGGTGAAACATTCAAACAGATTAACATTAACTTTGCCGCGGGGGAGTGTGGTTTAGAAAAAAATATGATCGCTAATATTGATATAACAGAAAATAATATCGGTAGTAAAGCAAATATTGAAAATGCGACTTGGGACGCAGGTGTGAAAAAAGGGATAATGAATTGAATTATGAAAAAAAAAAAACAACAAAAAAGCAACCATTGGAAATAAACAGAGAAATGACTGTCAACATCTCCAATGAACAGAGACGACCAGACTGAATTATAACAACATATAATCAACATTATACGCATGAATCGTCACACTTATAAGCGCGGGAAGGTGATTTCCCGAGCTGGGTTCAGATTCCGTTCCGGTCTGTTGCGATCATAACAATCTTAACCTGTTAAAGTCTAGGGGTAACGTGTAACCTTCCGCACATATCCCTATATTCCGTGCCTTTTCTCTGTACCTTTAATGGCTGTTGGACCTTGTACAGGGTGAACATTATTGTAAAAAGACATACTTTGTTTAGATTTTGGAAGCAGACTTCCGTTATTTCACTGCACCTTAAAACCGGTTCCCCAGTCTCTATCCGTAGGTTAAGGGTGGTAAGCGACCCTGTATGAAGAAAAATAAGACCTATCAAATGACAGAAGTCCGATGAGTTAATGACAAGGTAACTGGAGGTTATGTCTCGATACAGTCACTGTGGAAAGGGCAAAAGTAATCTACTCCACTATCTCTCATAAGTCACATCAAGACAGCACAATACTATCTGAAAATTTATTTAAATCAGATGTTTCAGAGAGAAATATATTATTATTCCATGAATTATTTAAATTTGAATCTTAACTTTGTTGTCTTTATTACAATGTATTGGTCAACTCTCTGTTCGGTGTCCTTCAGGCGAATGTAGTAATCGTAAATTGTTGAGTCTTCCTGCTGTGCTAATTTATATATTTATAAATCACATCACTTCCTCAATACAAATAATTCAGAGAGTTGAACGTCAAACTCATTTGGCACAGAAAAATTACTGGTTGCTAAGAGTTAGCAGATATAGGCTTTACATGAAGAAGGCGAAAGCGACTGTGCACCTGCTAAGTTCCCTCCACATACATGGGTTGAAAGCCAGAGAGGCTTCCTTGCGTAGTGTGTATTGGGTAAGTAAACTTGGCGGAGCTCATCCCTCTTAAGGTAAAAGCACAGCCGATTTCCGCCAACTTGAAGACTCGCCTTGGTCTACAGATACGTGACCGTTGATTACATCGAATAAACCATCTGCACTGGTATTTGACTTCCGTCTATGAAGCTCTCTGCCCAACAATGCAGTGTTATCACAGTACTGGCTGCATGGGTAGCTATGGAGCAAACGAGAAGGCAGAAACGGATTTGAATGAGAAAAGCAAAACAGATGATAAATAGGAAAGAGTGCTCCATTTGTATTAGAATACTGGCGTCGCATTCAATGAAATCGTACGAAAAAAAAAGGATAACGTATTCGTTGTCGGCACGGAAAGAGCGGTCGGCGAACCGTATTCAAATCCCAGGCGAGTCCGTTGCGTTTGCTTTCACGCAAATAACCCTGGAAATTCTCCTACCAGACGGAGTTTAACACAAGCGAAAACAGTGCTGACTAGCTTTGGGTGGAAACCGGTCTAGTAAAACGAAAACTCTGAATTCAAGAATTTTTATAGGACGAGCTCTGTCTGGCTATCTTGCCCTTGATACGCCACTGCTACCACGGCTGTGGATGATGTACGAGCAGAATGTATAACGGGACTCGATGAAGACTAACCAGAAAAGATCCGAGAAAGAGACAATATTGGAAAACAAACTGCAACAGCATAATGGTAACTGCAACTGCCGCCTTATAATGAAACATTCCATATTCACTCTTCGAAAAGCCAGTGCTATTTTGGTTCAAATTTATAAAATCTTTTGATTAAAACAAGTCTTCAGAGAAGTAACTTTCTGGAATCCTTTAACTGTTATTGCACTTTCTGGTAATGATGAGGGCTTTCTTCCACGTCTTTGGTTTGTAATGGTGCCAAACGTCCACATCTTGATTATATCATTATTTTCTCCTCCGATTAAAGTTGTTACTGTTTTTGAAAATCCTCGTGTGGGATTGTTTCTGTATTTGATTCTGTAGCACCACGACGAAGGATGATCCCCGTTAAGACCCAAAGGTTTCATTCACTGGAAGCCATTTTTAATCATCGTTATGAGAAACCTACAGCTAACAGTTGAAATATTTATGAACTATTTTGGCGCCATGTATGGCATTTAAAAGCCTCAATCTGATGAGGATGTTTAAGAACGTGAGTTTACCGCATAATGTTTAGGTTTTGCAGAGATTTTCAGTGTTAGACAAAGCTTCCCCTAGCACAAGCCTTATTTTATTAAAATTTCCTTATCTCCTATATTGAATCTGTTTTCACAGATCCATACACTGCGGTATTTGAAGCGTTTAATAAGGATTAAATGCACATCATGATTTCTTATGAGTGAGTATATCCGCCATCCCTGCTTTCATACTAATTGCAGATCATCATCTCTGTTTTCATTTATCTTCAAAGTTTACTTTTACTAATTCTTGAAACGTTGCAGATGATATTATTCTGTTCAAGATCATTGTTATTCTAAATATGAATACCTATGAATAACATCGACTAAGCAATCATTAGAACCATAACTTATTTTCTATTAGATGTATTTGACACTCCAGGTAATATTCCAGCATTATAGCAGCCAGATAGGGCTGAAAATGAAGTGCTGCTACCAGGAGCTGCCCACTCTTCAATTTTCAATTTTGACAGAGTCCAAAAGAGTCTCCGTGTCCGTGTGGGTAATGGAGTATTTTCTACTGAAGAACCCCTTTCCTATAAACAAAAACCTAACATGTCTCACGTTGTTCTATCGCTTTTGCCATAGAAACTGTTCAGACCAACTACATTCATTAGTTCCACCAGTTCTAATCTTTATGGCTAAGACCCACCATACTCCGCACATTGTAGCGAATGGCACTCATTGCCTTCATATTCCATTGGTGAGATGCAAGTTCAATCCCGGATACTTCTTCCCACGAAGAGCTGCTTTGTTGAGCTGAGTCCCAAGATGATGCTCCCTCGATCACTACAATCTTAATCTGTTCAAATCTAGGGCCAACCGTTATCTTCTTCACATATCCTCATAAGCTGTGCCTTTTTAGTCGGTAACCCTCTAACTTGAGTAGCTCTTGGGTCTTATACAGGATGAACATCATTGTCAAAAAAGAAAAAGAAAAAGATCAAACATAATCAAAGGAATTACTATCTTGATCACACCTGATCTCCAGTGATGTTTTTCTTCTTCTTCTTCTTCTTCTTCTTCTTCTTCTTCTTCTTCTTCTTCTTCTTCACAGTATTTTCTTCTTCTTTTCCCTTCTTGTTATTTTCTTTTTCCCCAGCAATTCTTTCTTTTGTCTTCTTGCTGTTGTTGTAGTAGTTGTTGTTGTTTTTCTTCTTCTTCTTCTTCTTCTTCTTCTTCTTCTTCTTCTTCTTCTTCTTCTTCTCTTTTTTCCAGCAATTTCTTCTTTTTCTTCTTTACCCCCGCTTCTTTCTTTCTTTCTTTCTTTCTTTCTTTCTTTCTTGTCTTTTTCCAGCATTTTCTTCTTATTATTATTATTATGTGCCCTTATAAATTTTAAAATGTTAAGTATAAGTGTCACTTATTCTTGCCATGGTATTCTCAGTATGCATATTTCTTTTGCTACACGTTGAAATTTCGCAGTATTCAATAACATATAGGCAGACTGATATTACATAACAGTTCATGTTACATAATATCAGTCCTCATATATCGTACTCTGTTTTTTGTTTCTCACGATATTTTTCTGATTTTTAATACTTCGCTATCCCAATGAATCATCGGATTTCCTACTTTCCGTCTTCTTTTAAAACACTTCCCAGATATTTAAATTGTTGTACTAGTTTGATTTGTAATTTGCATGTTGGGTTGCTCTTTTTTGTTAACAACAATGTATTCCTTCTTGAAATTTAATGTTCAGTCCTTTCTTCTAGCTATCCTTTAATATCTTCTGTAAGTGTTTGCTTTCAACACTGTGTCATAAGCATATTTTATATTAAGACTGTGGCCGCAAATAATGAATCATGGTGGACTTTTAATTCTACCAGAATCACCTCAGAGTATAGGTTGAATAAGTTCTCTGAAAAGACACATTTTTTTACACCCTCTTTCGATTTTTGAGCAGTTATCTGTTGGTATAGGTGCTGAAATATTCTCATGCTGTAATAATGATAATCAAGATTTTGTTCTTCGTACAATGAACTGAGTCCAGGTTCTTGCTGGAAATACTTCCCAGGTGCACATGAGTGGATTCTGGTCATTGGCAGAAAGCACTTGTCGTCTTATTGAACGCATGCCAAACATGACTGTTTCGATATTGACGTCAACCAGGCCGATCAAGGGCAAACGGATTTCGTGCACATATTCCGCTATCTTGGGCCAAGATGCCTTAAGAGATATGAGGCGATTAATATTAACCCATTAAGCGAGAGAACACGTATGGATCTGTACCTTTCTGCCTCGATGTATAGAAATATCCTCTCGTTTACGACAGACACGTTTTCTGAATAATGACAAATTTCTACAATTCTCACAGGCCACTAGTAAAATCTTAGGCTCCTACTGAAAGGGTTGAGCAAGTTCGGTAGAGGGCCATCGTAATTGGGCATTTTTTTCGTGTTACCAACTTGTTTTTGAATGAGAGAGAAGTTAATGGCTAAATATATAACATTGATAGTTCAGCTTCTAATAATATTTGTTCACTGTGTTGTGCGAGAAAAATATTCTCTCCAGAATC